TTTTTTTTTTTTTTTTTTTTTTTTTTTCCCTTACTTCCTAGGAAATCTTTCTCGAATTGTCTGCAGCCATCAAAGAGATCTTCAATTGTCTCGAAATGTAATGCATGCGTTTGCTCAAATATTAAATCACGCATAGTAGAGGCACATAATTTTGCCTTAGATCTGTATAAGAAGAAAAGGAGACAAAAGGAGACACAAAGGAGACAGGAAAGGAGACTAAGGAGAAGGGGGAGATAAAGGGGAATATAATGATATATTATAATGCATGCATTTGCTCAAATATTTAATCATGTATAGTAGAGGCACATAATTTAGCTATAGATCTAGAGGAGGAAAAGGAGACAAAAAAAAAGACAAAAAAGAGACAATAAAAGGAGGCAGTAGAGGAGATGAATCAGGAAATAAGGAAGGAGATAAAAGGGAGAGAAAAAGGAGACAAAAAGGAGGACATAAATACAGCCAAAAAGGAGACAAATAGATCGCGAAGCAGGAGAACTAGACACCCAAACAAAAGGACGATCAACCTATCTACCTATCTATCTATCTATCTATCTATCTATCTAGCTGACTAGCTAGCTAGATAGCTAGCTAGCTATTTATTTATATTTACCTGCAATAATCATCAAGAGCTTGATCAAGTTCCTCTAAGAATCGTGTATTATGTGTAAGAAAAGAGAGACCAGAGGATAAATCCCCATTAAATATTTGTCTCTTAATCTCTGCAGCAGCAGCAAATAATATACGACGTAAGGCGCAAGAAGAAGCGCATGCAGATAAACGAACTAAATATAGCATGCAGCCCCGTACATTTGCTTGTAATAAATCTGCCACTAATGGCTCCCAATCCGCCTTATCCACCACATGACGGACAGCCCTCATCATCTGCATGCATGCACACACATAATATAAATATAATTATATATATAATTATATATATATAAATATATATAGTTACCTATCTATCTATCTATATAGATGCGTAGTATGTTAGGAATAAAAATATATATCTCTATTGCTGCAGTGACTGTTTCTCCTTCCCGTCTATTGATCAATCCCCCTGCCATCCCTTTCCCTCTCCTCCTGTATATATATATATATATATATATATATATAAATAAATAAATAAAATAAATAAATAAATAAATAATTTACCTGTAAGAGTACATTTTTGGAGAATTGTTGATCTGGTTCAAGAATAGAAATATGGAATTTAAGCCATCGACCTAAATATGTAATTGATAATTGATTTAATAAACGAATATCTGCAAATTCTCCAGCTATTTTCTGGCTTATAGAATCATCACAGTCACGAGATGCTGCATGCATGCATACATCCATGCATGCATACATACATACATACATACACATAAATATATTCATAAATAAATAAATGTATTGTGTATATATATATTTATTGTGTATATATATATATACTATATACTAAATAATATATAGCATTTGTCATAATCATAGTCAACAATAAACCCTAAACCCTAAACCCTAAACCCTAATACACTAAAACCCTAAACCCTAATAGACTAAAACCCTAAACAATTATATATCGTTAACTCTTACGTTGTTTATCACTTTCTCCTACTGCATCCATAAATAATTCATCAAGACCAACAGATTCCTCAGGGGCACCCTCATTAGGGGGACTATCTAAATCAGGGCCTAATAAAGGATGAATTACTGCATGCCCTTTATATAAGGCACCAGCACCATCACCTGCATACAGCCCCACACATGCAAGTATGCATGCATGCACAGGTGTATGTATGCATGCATCCATCCATCCATGCATGCATGCATGCAAAAGACGAGAAAGGAGCGAAAGGAGATAGGTAACGCAGAAAGGAGACACCAGATTCAGTTAAGGAACGAAGGTAGATTTACAGCAGTTAAGAGATAAAGGAGACAGGAGGATAAGAGACAAAAGAGGAGACAGTACGATAAGAGATAAAAAAGAGACAACACGATAAGGAAAAGGAGACAGTAAATTACTTTCATCAGGATTAGCAGTCTCTACGCAGAGAGAGAGAGAGAAGAAAATAAAAAGGAGACACTAAATAAATAAATAAAAAGGAGACACTTAATCAAAAGGAGACACTAAATAAATAAATAAAAAGGAGACACTTAATAAAAAGGAGACACTTAATAAAAAGGAGACACTTACTTTGATCAGGATTAGCAGTCTCTACGGAGACAGAGGAGATTTCTACAGGCTGTAGGCCTATCCATCCATCAGGACGGAAGACTCGTTGCCAGCATCGGTAACCAGAGGGAGGTATATTCTTTGGGTGCACGAGCTGAGCAGCAGCAGCAGCAGCAGCAGCAAGAGCAGCAGCAGCAAATAGAGCAGCAGCAGCAGCAGCAGCAAGAGCAACAAATGTAGGGGTTAAGGGCAGATGCAGCAACAAAAGAGGGATTGCTGTTTACAGCAGCAGATACAAAACAAACAAATGATAACACCTAAACCTGCTGCTGATGCTTCTGTTGCTGCTGCTGCTGCTGCAGCAACAGCAGCAGCAGCAGCAGCAGGTGAATAGTTGAGTTACCGTTTGTAGAGAAAGGATGACGGTCAGTCTTTGTCTATCAACACTCTTAGATTGTGTTTGCTCTGCCTATACACATATACACACACATGCATGCATGCACGCTGCTGCTGCTGCTGCTGCTGCTGCTGCTGCTGTTGCTGCTGCTGTTGCTGCTGCTGGTTCATGCAGCTGACGTATACTGCTGCTGCTGCTGCACGCTGCTGCTGCTGCTGCTGCTGCTGCTGCTGCTGTATATATTATAGACTTACAAGAGCTTGAGGACTTCTAAAGTAGAAGGTAACGAGTGCATCCCTACTAGGTATTTTATTATCATTATTAGGTGTCTCCTCTTGTTTCCTGTTGCTGTTGCCCTCAGGTGTCTCCGCAGCAGCAGAGACAGCTTGGACTAATCCAAACATATTTGTATCATCTTTAGATAAAGTATAACGAACTAATTGCCCTGGTTGTGTTACTACTCGTCCCCCCATACCACCAGGAGGCTGGGCATTCTCTGCCTGCAGCAGCAGCAGCAGCAACAACAACAGCAGCAACAGCAGCAGCTGTAATATAAGAGGAGGAGGAGGAGGAGTAAGGGGAGGAAAAGGAGACAGGAGACAAAAACAAAAGGAGACAAAAGGAAGAAGAAAGAGACATAAAGGAGACATGCAGCAAATAAGGAGACACACGAAGATAAGGAGACAGATAAGCAGCAAGAAAAGGATTATTAAGGCAGGAAAGCAACAAAGGAGACAGACAACACAAGAGAGGAGAAAAGGAGACAAAAAAAAGGAGACAAAAAGAAAATAAAAAAAAAAGGAGACAGTTAATGACTTACTTCTTGCTTAAGACGCTCAAAATATTCTTCTGCCCTTTTCTATAAACATAAACAAAAAATAAATAAACAGGAGACAATTTATACATAAAAGGAGACAGTTTATATATAAAAGGAGACAGTATAAATGGAGACAGTGTGTATATATATAAAAGGAGACAGTTATTTATCCTTGTACTGTACAGTGTCCTAAAGGGTGCACAACATAATACAAAAAAAGGAGACAATATAAGGAGACACTATAAACGCAGGAAAAAAAAAGGAGACACTATATAAACAAAAGGAGACACAATAAAAGGAGACACTTGCTTACTCTTGTTGTCCCTAAAAAGTTACGATAGTACTGCTCAGGATCAGGGAATAATTCACAACATAATATAATATAAAAAAAGGAGACACAGGTAACATAAAGAGACACTATAAACGCAAGAAAAAAAAAGGAGACACTATAAAAGGAGACAATAAAAAAGGAGACAGTAAAAGGAGACAGTTATTTACCCTTGTTGTCTCTAGGAAGTTAGGATGGTACTGCTCAGGATCAGGGAATAATTCACAACATAATTTATGTCCATCAATAAGATTTTCTTGTAGTGTCCCTCCGTATGTCTCCATAAAAGAAGATCCCCCTCTAGGGAGACGCATTATAACATAATTACCCGTCATTAATTCTGTTACTATTTGTAATAATTCTCTTATATATAATTTTACATGCTCCCTGTATATAAAGGAAGAAAAGAGACAAAAGGAGACATAATATAAGTTATTATTCGTATACTAATACTCTTATATATACAGGAGACACAAGGAGACAAAAAGAGTCATTAATTTTGTTACTATTTGTAATAATTCTCTTATATATAATTTTACATGTTCTCTGTATATAATAAGGAACAAAGGAGACACAAGGAGACACAAGGAGACACAAGGAGACATAAAATATGTTATTATTTGTAGGGGAAGAAAAGAGACACAAGGAGACATAAAATATATTATTATTTGTATAATAAATCTCTTATATATAAGTTTATATGTTCTCTGTATATAAAGAAAAAAAGAAGGAAAAGAGAGACAATAGGAGACACATAAGGAGCAGGGAGAGAAGGAGACACAAGACACGAAGGAGACACAAGAAAAAGGAGACAGAAGAAGAAAAGGAGACAGAAAAAAAAGGAGACAAAAGGAGACAGCTAACCTAATAGATTGAGGAGACTGTTGTACAAGTTGATCCTCTAATTCAGCAATCTTCTTTTGTGTGTCTCTTCTCTTCCTACTTAATCGTCTCTCTAAGGAGCTTAATTGCTCAGACAATAAGGCCTGCAGCAGCAGCAGCAGCAGCAGCAGCAGCAGCAGCAATAGAAAGGGCAGAGAGAGGTGCTTAGGAATAGGGGAGACAGGAGCAGCTTCCTCTATCTCCTCCTTAATTGTCTCCTTGTCTCCTTTTCTGTCTCCTTTATGTTTGTACATTTGTTTATTCATTTATATATATTTATTTATATTCATCTATTTATTCGTATTAATTAATACATTTATATTTATTTATTTATATTTATTTATTTATTTATTTATTTATTTATTTATAAATAAATAAATAAATAAATAAATAAATAAATAAATAAATAAATAAATTACCTGGAATTTATTATTGAGCTCTTGTTTGAATTTATTAGGATTAAAATAATGTTCTAATAAATTATAATCATTAGATGAATAAAAAGAATTATTTAATAAATAAATTATATCCTTATATCCTTTATCTATTTGTTTATGCATACTTTCTTTTCTTGTCTTATAGTCTCCTTTCTCTTTCTCCTCTAATGATAAAGAAAATAACTCCAATAAATATAATGGTAAAGGATTACCATTTGCATCCTATTTATATATATACACAGACACACATACACAGACATATATGCATGCATGCATGCATGCATGCATTCATGCATGCAAGTATGTGTGTATGACTATGCATGCATGCACAATGTATGAACGAATGTATGTATGGCAATCCATGCATGCATGAATGCATGAACAGGTAGATAAGAAAACGGAGAAGAGAGCAATTTTCCTGCCTGCATGCCTGGCTGCATGCATGCAAAGGGAGACAATAAAGGAGACAGGAGACAGGAGACACTACTTACTTTAACAGCTCTTTTCCTGACTCGATCAAGAAGTTGTTGTTGTGTCTTTACGTCACTTTTCTCATTCATTAAGAATTCTCTTGCTCTTGTCCCTACTACTATTGTCTGTGAGGGACTAAGACCTAGGCCTAAAAAGGAGACACAAAAGGAGACACTTATAAAGGAGACAGATGAAGGAGGAGGAGACACATTAAGAAAGAGACACAGAGGAGGTAAAGAAGGGGAGATACAGTAGATACAAGACATACACGCGAGAAAGAGAGAGAGACAAAGGAGACACTTATAAGGAGACATCAATTCTTCTCCTTCCTTCCCCCTTCTATACCTCCATCCCTATTCCCTCTACCTCCCCCCTTATAACCCATCATTATATTCCCCATGACGAGCAGCAGATGAATAAGCAGCAGCAGCAGCAACAGCAGCAGCAGGAGCAACAAATTACCTTTAGGAGCAGGTGCAAGTATAAATTCTCTTAGACTCCAAGGCCAATTAGCTGGATCGTCACTCGCCTTCTTAACAAGGAGATAAAAATCGTTTGGATTTTTTTGGACGTAAGAACGAACGACTAGACGAGTTAGCTCTGAGCCAGCCTTAGAGTCCTCTTTTATACCAGGTAGGTCTACGAATACGGCGTGGACTCCTGTAACAAATATATATATATATATATATATATTATAT